GAGGCAGTGCTGGGGGCATGGCTGCAGGTGTGATGGGGTGGAGCTGGGTGGGGTGGAGGCGGGGTTGGAGGCAGTGCAGGGGACATGGCTGCAGGTGTGATGGGGTGGAGCTAGATGGGGTGGAGGTGGGGTTGGAGGCAGTGCAGGGAGCATGGCTGTAGGTATAATGGGGTGGAGGTGGGGTTGGAGGCAGTGCTGGGGGCATGGCTGCAGGTGTGATAGGTAGGAGCTGCGGTGTGGTGAAGGTGAGGCTGGAGGCAGAGCTGGGGGTGGGGCTGCAGGTGTGATAGGACCCAGCTGGAACGGGTTGCAGAGTTGGAGGGCAGGACTAAGAGGAAGACTGCCCGGAACTAGCCACTTTCCTACCACCGCAAGTGAAAGTGGAACAGCCTGCAGGGCCTCTGTTTCAATCACCTGAACAAGGCTGTTCACATGTGTCATTTCAGGCCTCCTTAAACCTCTTTTAAAATATCCCTATGGTTCACAACTGAAGTATAGATTATCTCTAATTCAAAATACTAATAATCTCTGGTTCAAGTTTGCTGTCATCATTTTAAAGGAAGCCCTTACCATTCATTCTATTTCTTTAAATCTAAATGGGGACTGTAAAGTTAAAAAAAAAAAATAGAGACTTGTTCCATTTTAAAATCTTTATAATTTCTTTAATTTTTAAGGCCAACAGAGTTTATGTAATCATTTTAATATCTAAAAATACAAAGTGAGCACTAGGAACATCTGGTGGTCTGCTCATTTACTAAGTTTAAATGTAACATTGTAAAACTAGAGTTAAAAATCTGACTCCTAAACAGATGTGACACAATGGGGACTAGAGTGACACTCGCTAGCCAGGACATCCAGAAAACGAGTGGTTGGCAAGGACAGCAAACTGCTAGGGCAAAGCCACAGCAACTGGTGAGCAGGAAAGAAAGGGGCCACAATATCAAAGACTTTGTTTCCTTTACCAGACCTCGTTCACTTCATCTCAGGATAGTTACTGTTGATGCATTTTACTCTCTTTCAACTGAATTACCCTAGAGCAGACATACACATGAAAACTGAGCATTTGAGCATCTCACACACACCACCACCAACTCAACAAGATGGGTTTTTGTGAGACGTGTGAGAATGTCAGAGGAACAGTCTGAGAGATAAGGCTCAAATCCTGTGAGGTCTTGATGAGTATCTAAATGACCTCCTATTTCTCTTCCATGCCTGGGGAGACAGCCCAGACACCCAGCCCACACACCAAGCTGTGATGAGAGGCTGGTTATAGGGATGGGGGGAAAGCCAAAGATAAACCAGAAACTTGTGAGTCAACAGTTTCCACTTCCTCCCGAACTGGACCGGTTACCAGAACTGCCCAAGACAAGTCACCATGAATTTTATCTCCCTGGATTTTCCCTGCCTGGTCTCTAAGCAAGCTGACAAAGGTCAGACAAGCAACGGTGACCAGGCTGACCCCGCACAATACTAGCATTGCTGACGGAGTGTGAAGTTGGGTCTTAGAGACAGCAGCAGTTGGAAGGAATCAGGGTGTGCTTGGCTCGCATTTCAGCCCAGGGCAGGGAGATTCGCCAACGTGCAGCTGATGTTGAGTCTTCCTGAAGGCAGAGTCTCTGTGACCAAGGAGACAGCAAGAGGAGGTGCTAGAACAGAAGCTGGGACCAAAGACACAGGTAGACACCATCTTCCGTTGCCTTTTCTGGAATCAGCAGCATCCCCGAAACCGTGACACGAGAGAGTGGGGGCCTTCTGGACTTCCGGTTCCTGCCCGTCCCTCAGGTCTGAGGCTCTACAATCCCCCACCTCTGTAAAACCACTGCTTTAAAACCACAAGCATCCTCCCCAGCTCTGCAGAGCCCAGTCTTCTTGTTTGTTTAAGTCCCCCAGGTTTAATCGTCAAGGCTTACCAAGAAGTCCCCTCGCCAGTCTTTTAAGATACTGTAACGTGATACTACATATGAATGAAATTGTGTGCAATATGAATGTGTGTGTGTGCATGTGTGCAACAGTGTGTGTGCAACAGACTGAAGATTTGGAGATGTTCACCAATAAGTTATCAGTAATTAAGTGGAATAAAATCTTAGGTGATTTTTTCTACTTCCTTCTTCACACTCTGATACGGTTTTAAGATATTAAAACAGGCATAGATCATTTTGTAATTACCAAAAAATGATATTTTCATTTTGAAAAAAAAGTTCAACTGATATTTTGGAGAAGAAACACAGGCTATATGTAGTAACTATCAGAGACAGATCAACTTTTTAAAAATTGAAGCATTTGAATCCAAACCTAATTTTCTTTCAAGCTGAAACTGCAGAACACACACTCTAAGCCTCCTAGACCCCGATGTCAGCGAATGTCAAAGATACAAATTAACAAATGATGTATAGGACATAGATCAGTTGACCAGTGACAAGGCCATGTATCATTTGGGGTTGAGTGGATCATACTTTGGGAGTTATTTTGCAAAGGAGGGTCACTGGGGGGAAATGCACAGAACACGCTTTCCCGCTCCACTGAGAAGTCAGACGGAAAACACCGGCATCACTTCATTCTCCTCGCAACATCTAAATACGCGTGCTCGATCTCCTGGTCAGCTGGACATGTGTTTGTGAACTCATCTCTGGCATACGCATTGGTCAAGTATCTCCAGATGCCAGTCATTTCAGAGGGAAATTCGAAATCTCTGTATTTCTTGGCCACAATCTGAAAATGAAGAGCACGTGATCAGGAAAGGGGATACCCACTCACGTAAGTGAGGAAATCAGACAGCCCATTGTTTGGAGGCGTGCAGTGGACCCTCCTCCTCCCCTCGTCCTGATGCTTTCCTGGGGTCACTCGGGGTGCCCACTGTGTTATTTTCACTGTGTGGGCGCATCTTGGCTGCAGGAGAGGTTACAAAGGTCCTAGAACCAAACAGTGACTCCGCACAGGCCTGTCCACTCTCCCAGCACAGAGGTCCTTGAGGTCTGTTGGCAGGAACTTGCTCTGGGCTCTGTGGGCTCCTCGCGTTTCCTGGGCTTTGTTTTCACGAGCTCTGCTATTATGTTACTCGGGGAGATATGAACAAAGGCCGATGAGACCTTCGCGACCAGGGGCCCTGTAAAGCGCCCTCTCTTTTTCCTTCTTGCTAAGCCTCACCTCCTGCAACCCCACATTCCCGTGAATGTTAGTCTTGAAGGTTTCCCTCATTCTCCACAAGGAGTATCCTGTGAGTCTGCCCCACAGAGAGGTAGAACAAAGCAGACACCCGTCCTTTCCCTCAAGGGGACACTGCCCGTCAGGAAAGAGCAGTGGAGCGTGACCATCAGGAGAAACACAGGGGTGTGAGATGCTCCCTCTCCAAGGGACCTGGTCACACGTAGGATGCCTAACACTGGGGGCTGCAGCTGTTTCCTGAGGCTGCTGTAACAAAGTGCCACAAACCGGGTGGCTTAGTACAAGAGAAATTTATTCTCTCACAGTTCCAGGGGCTAAAAGTTCAAAGTCAAGGTTTCTTCGGTAGGGCCATGCCCCCCTGAAGCCTCCAGGAAAGGCTCTGCCCCAGGCTTCTCCCCTAGACCCCGGCCGCTTCTTGGTTGTGGGATCGTAACTCCGGTCCTCCCATGGTCTTCTCCCTGCAGGCAGGTCTCTGGAGTCACATATCTCCTTTTAGCAAGGATACCAGTCATTGTGGATTAGGTCCACCCTTCTGCAATATGACTTCATCTTAACTATTACATCTGCAAAGACCTCTTTCCAAATAAGGTCACTGAGGCACAAAGGGTTGGGACCTCAACATATGAATTGGGAGCACAGCCGCCATTCCACCTGTGACAGAGATGAGGGCTCCTCAGGCTAGTCCTGCTTGGTCGTCTCCCATCCCACTGGTTCTCAGGATGTCTCTCTGAAGGGAGCATGGGGCTGACCACAAATTAGAAGGTCTTTGGGACTTATTTCTCAGATTTTGGAGGCCAGCAGCCATGGATACAGTGTGGCAGCAGAGCAGGACCGTGTGATGTTTAGAAAGCCTCCTAAACCATTTAACACCTTTTATGTGAATTCATACTTAGCAATGTCAAGAATCCTGATTTCCTTTTGTTTCCTCGGCCGAGTTATCTTTGTCCACCTTCTTATATTAACATCGCCGAGTAAATTTGTTAGGTGTAGCATGCTTCTTACACGTGGAATCTTATGCTTATATTTTCTGAATATACAATTTGCTTAGTTTTCTGTCTTTTGTGTGTATGTGAGTGCCTGTGTGCATTTCTCTTCCTGGTAATTTGGACATTTTATGGTCTTTTTTTAACTCTTCCAGTGATTTCTTATATAACTTTAAATAACTGGAATCTTACAGTTTTTATTTATTAAATTTAGATGTTATCGATTTATTTCTGAAGATGACAAACAAGGATATTCACGTATTTACACGTCCTTCCACTTTCTCTCCCTCGCTCTGCTTCCAGTGGGAGTGAGGACATTCACATTTACTATATTCACAGTCTGTTCCGTCCCTGTAAACTCCACTATTGTTTGGCCTTTGTTCTAATTTCAGGTCTAAATAGGTTGCTTGGTTAGCATCTGTCCTTTAATATCCCACATTTTCTCTGTAACTTCATTCTGGTTTTGATTATCCTTTTATTACTTCATCATGTAGCAATTTTATTTTTCAAACTAGGAAGCCAGAAGTTTAGGGAAAAGCTGAAAGATTTATTCACTCCCAAAAGAAACCACAGCATAAGATATTTACATAAAAACAATAATTTGCCTGGACATAAATTCTTATAACATACATCCTTTCTCTCTTAATTATCTGTAGTCATTAAATCATCATTTTCTGATTGTTTGATATGGTCATGAAGATATCTGAGGCTCATGTAAAATTCTTTCCTATGTAGGTAGCTTTGCTCTTCATTTTATTATTTTTGTTATTATTACTGTTTTTTGTTGTTACAGTGTTATTAATATCATTGCCTGGACAACCAAAGGGGGTGTTGATCAATCAATCTTGGTGCAATCAACCTGGTGCAATGTCTTCTAAATACACCAGGTTATTTAAACTGAAGGTCCAGGGCATCCTTTCATTCAAAATAATTTTCCCCTGGAGCCTTTGCTGTCTGCAGTATCTTTTTCTCATCTTGCTACTTCCTTCTTTCTTTTTTTTTTGCAGTTTTTGGCCGGGGCTGGGTTTGAACCCGCCACCTCCAGCATATGGGGCTGGCGCCCTACTCCTTGAGCCACAGGTGCCACCCGCTACTTCCTTCTAATACAACTTTTATCTCTGCAATTCTTTTATTTGCCTTTACTTTTGTTTCAAGCTCTGCCAAACTGATTTTCACACCCTTTGGGATACTATATTTTTTGGCATCTTATGTCTTGTCTTTGAGGTTACTCTCAAAAATTTTATATTCTCTTTGAGAAAAGTTTCAGTCTGGAATGTTCTTTAATTTATTGGAGTGATTCTTGATCATACATATTTCTCCTCTGCCTTTTTCCTTTGTTTTTCTTCCTTCTCTTTATCTTCCTCCCTCCCCTTTTGATCCTGATCAAATCTTTTAATACAGAAAATGTATCTATTGCACCTACCATTTGCCTAAAAATAGTGTAGTGGGCAAAGGGATTAAGATAGGGCAGGCAGTCTGGATATGTGCTCTCAGGTACTCCCTGGGGACTCGTCTGAGTTAAGGTTGGGGGTGTGTGTTGGGGCATCCTCCACTCCTGAGGCTCACAGATTAGGCAAAAAGTCACTACGGCTGAAAACAGAACCAGGGCAAGGCATAGTCTCTCTCAACTGGTGGAGGGCTTGTTTCTTCTCTCTGCTCAGCAGCCACAAAGCAAAATGCCACTCCTGTTCCCTCCTGCCACACCACTTTCCCTCCAGATGTCCCGTGGATGAGAGGCTGAGTCACAGCTATAAAGATGGCACCTCTGTGGAGCATTGCCCTCTGCTCTGCCTCCAAGAGATCTCAGTTCAAAAGTGGCCTTTATAGGGATGTTCCTGCTTCTCTCATGGCCCACCACGTGCCCTAACCCTCAAACAAACAAGTTTGAAAAATCTCAACTTTGCTAAAGATACGGAGAAAACTTGCATTGGCTCCACGGCACCTTCACTAGGTGAGGTTTCTCAGCCTTCAGGTTGGTTGGGGGTCTATTATCTCTTTGTAATTTTACAAAAGATGAAACTAATATTTTATTTGTTCACCTTATTTTCCCTGGGTTTCAGGAAAGGGGATAAATTATAAATCATGCAGTCATCTTTTACCATAATTCCCTTAGATTGACTGTCACTTCCTTTCAGAAGTACTCCACCCTGAAGATCATAGCCAGCTGGTACTTTGTGGGCTACAGGGCTTTGAAGATTTTGCTGCTAGGTCTTATACAGGAACCACCGACTGCTACAGCTCACTCTGCAGTTCACCCCTTCTACTGAAATTTACAAGTTACATGTTCAGCCATGGTCACCTTCTGCCTAATCTGGAACCCTCAGAGTGGAGGAAGCCCTAACCCAAACCCCAACCTCAACTCAGATGAGTCCCCAGAGGGTGCCTGAGAGGAAACACCCAAACTGATCTTCCACCTGCCCTATCTCACTGAAATCTACCATAGTCTTTTCTTAGGAACTAAACTAATGGCAATTAGTGCAGCCTGGATAGGCTATTCTGCTCTTCCTCAACTTCCACATGCTTCTGCAAAGTCACCCCATTCACTATGGCAGCAATGACTGAAAGCATTCACCAAAAGGGACTAAATCAAACACAATTATAAGAATGTGCTGCTGGAAAATGGCTTCCAAATTCAGCGTGTTTTCAAGATGCTTTCATTAAATTGTGGCTACCAGGGCACTGGCACGGCTGTTAGAAAGGGATGGGAAGCATCTCGAAGGCTTGCACTTCAAGTTGGCACCCTCAAGCTTGACAAGGACAAGAGAAGAAGGAAGACAAACAGGGAAGAGGGGAAGAACAAGAAAGGCGGGCAGACGAGGGTAAAGGAATGGCCTGGTGTCACCAGTATGGCTGGCGGCCCATAGGAGCATGGGCTCCATAGACCCAGCAAACCTAATGTGTCATTTCTAAATCCCAATTAAATGTGTCATTAGAACAATAGTCAATGGCGTAGATGTCCCTATTTCTCTCTCATCTCCCGTCCCCTTATATCAAGGACCGAACTATGGACCTGCTGGGACTCTAACAATCAAGATGCCCCAAAGCAAGTCATGGGCTCCTTCCTGAGGTATCCTGGACTACTGAAGGCCAAGGACACAGCAATAGTGATAACAACAACTTCTATCAGTGGTAGAGAGGCTGGGAGCACTGCTGAGGAGCTGCAGCCACTGAGAAGACCAAGTGTGGGCCATCTGCCTTGAAACCCCAGCAGTCACCCCAGAAGTTCTGACTTACAAGGTCAAGCAATAGATTGTGCATTACACTTCTACAAAGCTCTCCAAACCATTCTTGTTATATTGGAAAACCACTGCTCTAGAAAGTCTTTAATCCTCATAATATATAATCCATGACTCATATATCATGTTCAACTACCTGGGAAGATGGCACCAAATATAGCAGGGGCCCAGTGGGGAGCTGTCAGCTGCTCCCTGGATGTCGAGGATCAATGGTAAGAGTTGGCAGGACACTCCTGGGTCATCCCCAGAAATGGCCTGGTTGACCCCTACAAATCATGGACAATTGCAGAGCTCCCATTTTCAGCAGTCCCACATTTCATGTGCCACCTATGTGCCCCAAATATTAAATGGCAGCTGTAACCTGGCAATTCCCTCAAGTTATTTCAATGTAACTTTTCTTTAGGCTGTGGGGGGGCTGGCTGAGAAAGAGGCAGAGCATGGGACCATGTTCCCAGGCACTTCTAGAGAATTCTGGAAGCTCATCGCTCAGAGTGTCTGAAACCTGAAGCTTGGCTGCCGAAACAGAAATGAGCTAGCATTTTTAATTCAAGTGTCGGCATTTCAACTGCTTACATGGGGCCCAAACACAAGTCAAACAAAGTAAAACAAAGCCCCATCCATCCGTTCAGTGCATGTGACGGAGAAAAGACAAACCTTAATGATGTGAAGTTTGGGTAAGAGGTTACAGTCAGCCAGCGTGAGCTCATCTCCATCCAGAAACTTCCTTCCAGAAACTGTGATGTCCTCAGTGCTGTAGGCATCTACCTCATCAGGCAGAGGGCTGTTTAGGTAGTCATCCAGCTTCTTCAGAGACCTTAACAGGTTCTTTTCATAAACTAAAATAGAAAGGTAAGAAATTTCTAAGATAGGACTTACAAGCTACTGTCACTTTCCAATAGTCATGAAAAAAGAAGTTGGCCACTGTTCCCTCCTGAGACCTGGCCAGCCAGCAGTGGGTACTGGGAAGGGAGGATGTGGCATCAAAATACCCAAATAAAGGAATTGCTCCTGGCTGGTGGTGGCTCACGCCTGTAAATAAATCCTAACACTCTGGGAGGCCCAGGAGGGAGAATCCCTAATGCTCTGGGAGGCAGTGATAGCTTAGGAGTTTGAGACCAGCCTGAACAAGAGTGAGGCCCATGTCTACTAAAAATAGAAAATATGCCAGGTGTGGTGGCAGGCACCTGTAGTCCCAGCTACTGGAGAGGCTGAGGCAGGAGGATCTCTTAAACCCAGAGTTGAAGGTTGCTGTGAGCTAGGCTGACACCACAGCACTCTAGCCTACAGTGGAGAGGTGAGATTCTGTCTCAAAAAAATAAAGGACTCACTCCTCCCTGGTAAATCATGCTGCTGTCTACACAATATTACTACTTCTAGAACTCATTTGTTTACTCAAAAATATTTATATGGAAAGCCTGTGATGAGACAGGTACTGACAAGGCATCATTTAAAACAACTCCCATGATGCAGCTGGGAACATCTGGTGGTGAATATTTTTCCCTAAAAACATCCCTTTCTGGGTTACCAGTTTCTAGACCAGCAGTCTCCAACCTTTTTTGTCAGGGACAAGTTTCATGGAAGACTTTGTCTAAGGACTGGGGAGGGCAGGGGGCGGTTTCAGGATGATTTCAGCACCTTACATCCACCTCACATCATCAGGCATTAGGTTCTCATAAGAAGCACACAGCCTATATCCCTCCCGCGTGCAGTCCACAGCAGGGTTCACGCTCCTATGAGAATCTAATGTTGCCGCTGATGTGAGAGGCAGTGAGAGGAGCAGTGGGGTGTGGCTGCGAACACAGGCCAAGCCTTCCTCCTCATCTGCCACTCACCTCTTGCTGTGGGGCCCAGTTGCTAACCAGCCACAGACTAGTCCTGGTCCACAGCCCAGGGCTTGGGACCACAGCTCTAGATTAAACCCTCCATCTCCTCAAACCCAGGGGCAGATTCACAGCGGGAGGTGTTTTCTCCTTAGACTTGCATCTCTATCCTCTGTGAAATGAAATAGCAATCAGGAAGACGGCGGTACTCACTCTCATTTGCATCCTTCTTGGTGTTTTTTATAAATGCTGAGAATTTGGCAAATACATCATTTCCTGCTGAGTTAGATTCAGGGTGTTGGGTCCCAAGCTTAGGATACCTTAAAAAGTTCAAAACTGGAGTATCACAGATATGCAATGTTTGAGTTAGGATAACACAGTGGGGGTGGGGGAGGAAACAGCTTTCTCTGGGTGGATAGAAAAATGAAAACGTCTCTCCTTGAATGTTTTCCTAATCTTTTATGTCCTGAGGATCAGGAAGCAATACAATCTAGAAAAATGGGACTGGACAGAGAGAATTTTATCCTGACAGTGACCCCTCCTGGGACACAGGGCCCCAGTTGGCTTTGTTGATCTCAGTTCCCTCTCCCTTATAAAATGAAAGGAATGGTCTAGAAGAATCCCCCCAGGTCCAGCGCTCTGTGCCACTTCCTCTCAGCAGGCACCCCTCCCCTTGCTGCAGCCATGTCCCCCCACTTCCACAAGCAAACCCTAATTATTGGGCTGCAGGTTGCACAGCACTTAAGTCCAGGCCCCTGAACTCTCATCTGTCTCTGGGTTTTCTGTGGTTCACCACAGGTATGACTAAGGACGTCAGCAGCACCGTGGGCCACAGACAACCAAACACGCAAAGCCAAGAGCTTTAGAATCTGTTGTGGGTGGCAAGTGGCAACCACAGTGCAAACACTGTTTTTATGAGGCCTACCTCGGGGGAGCTAATTTCTCCTCTAAGAACTCCTCGATCTTGTTCACATCCGTCTTGACTTCACCATCAAAAGTCATAAAAGGAGGGTTGGTTCCAGGAGCCAGGTTCTGCAGGTCCGCAGGTTTCCTGGGTGGGGGTGAACAGCAGTGTCTGTGGACAGCTATGAGCATTTGGACTCATGTCCAAGACTTAGCATGGCCCTCCCAGAAAGAGAAACAAGCCTTAGGAATGGCACGGTAGATTGTGGATTGGCAAAATGGAAAGGCATTTGTTAACGAAGCATGGGGTTGCTGATCCTATATGCAGAGGTGAAAAGTTAACTCTCTAGGAATGGCGCTCAGACAGGACTGCAAGGAGGGGGGGTGGCCCTGACCAGCAGCTGGGAGGGCGGGTGCCTTCTGGCACCCCCAACTCCTACCCCCTCCTGACTACAGCCCAGCTGGTCCTGTAACTACTCTGCATGGCCCACACTCCAGCTTCAATTCAGGCTCATCTGCCCTCAGTCAAGGATGGAGAAGTCCAGGTTATCACCACTCGGTGCCAGGGTAGTGTGGGGTGTGTGTGCAAAGAATTAGGTACAGTTATTTCAATAATACAGAAACCTCATCTTACCTTTTCAGGTCCACCGTTGTTACATTAAATATAACACCTTTGAGCCAGAGAATCATAAAGAGACGCTGAGAAAATGGGCAATTTCCGATACTTTCACCATCAGAACCAGCCTACAGGTGGAAAGAGAGATCCTGATGTGAGTTAGTGCCGCCCTTAGAAAAACCAGACACCCCAATACCACAAGAAGCTGTTAAGAAGTGTGGTCACGATACTGTAACTCTCTTTCTGAGGCCATTTTAACTCAGCCTCTGTGCTCAGTAGGAGGTGGTGTTTGGGAGGAGGAAGGACACACACATACACACACACATATGCACACGCACACATGTGCACGCCCAGCCCTGAGTCTTTTCTCTCTTCTGCCCCACTGCCTCACCACTTCCTGCCACCCTGGGCCTCCAAGTAGCAGCGCACTGAGGGGAGAGGCAGCAGGGAGAATTCCCTTTCTTACCAAGGGCAAAAAAGATACACTCTGCCCCTCCCTTTCTCTGGAAAGACAGACCATCAACTGTCCCACCGAGGCCCAGCTCTGCCAGCCGCTCCTGCACTCATCTGCAGATGAGAGGCTTGGAGTACATGAGCTCCAAAATCTCGTGCGTGACTAAATTCTATTTTCCTTCTTCTGCTTCATGGCAGTGGCAGAGATGGGTGGGAATCACTGGCACCTAGAAGGTACATTGTTACACAGTCAGCGTTGAAGTGGAAGGATGTGAAATAGGTCCTTGATCATGCCCCACAGCAGGCCACGTCCACACACCCACCCCCAAACACAGGTGTAGACACCAACTGGACATGTGTCAGGCCCCCGGCAGAGGAGAGAGGCAGATGTTGGGGACGAGGTGGGGAAACTGGTCGGGCTGCCCAATTCCTGACCAGCGGAGTAACAGAAGCAAAGCTAACAATGGACGTTCTGAAACTCCACTTTCTCTTACCAACTTCCCTCACTCCACAAATCTCTGGCAAGGTCACGGTGCTAATAAAACACTGCCAAAAAATGCAAGGAGCTGGCTCAGACATGCCCCCACCACCCCCAACTTCAAGCCTACACTCAGCCAACACTCAGTAGCAAAACATGGGCACATTTAATACATGAAGTCCATTTCTGCCACACACAGTTGCTTTAAAAGTGGAGAGGAAAGCCTGGTAACTACAACCTGAGTAATAACAGAAGGACACAAGGCAGAAAGTGAGCTGCTTCCTTGGAAATCGAAGAAAAGAAAAAGATGGTTCAAGAGAAGTGGAAAATATAAAGAGTGCCCCAGGGGTGAGTCGCTGACTCGGGCGTCCTTATGTGACCTGGAGAGGTTACGAACAACGAACAAATGGATAAAAGACTATTAATGGGTGCTCCTATAAATTAAAAGGACAAAAGATAACTCAATTTTTAAAAGACTTTCTTAGCCTCCTCACCAAAGAGAGACTCTAAGTGGCCAAGAAGCATGTGAAACAATTCTCAATATCACAAGTTGGCAGATAGGTGCAAATTTAAACTACAAGTAGACGCCTTACCAGAATGGCTAACATTCAAAGGTGCAATAATACTTTTTTGTTGTTGTTTGGGATTCATTGAGGGTACAAAGAATTTACACTGATTGCATTTGTAAAATAAAGTCCCTCTTAGACTCGTGTCCTGCCCCCAAAAGGTGTGCCATACACCGTGACCCCCATCCCCTTCCCTGCTCCCCTCTTCCCGCTACCTCATTCCCCATCCCCCCCTCATATTAGGTCATCTACTGCATGAAAATGACATTATTGTCCACTGCTGCCAAGAGTATAAATTGGTACAACTACTTTGGAGAGCCATTTAGCCATTATCTACCAAAGCTAAGCCTAGGACACAGCCATTCCACTCCCCGCAGAAGTGAGTGCTTAGGGACACCAAAAGACACTTAGACAAATATTCCTAGCCTGGTACAATAGCCAGATCCTGGAAACAACCCAGAAGCTGTCAAGAGTAGAATAATATTTCTGTAGTAGTATATTCAAACCATGAGATCTACACCACAAAGCGAAAGAATGAGCTTCATGCAGGCGAAGCAAGGGTGCATCTCACATGTTGGAGAAAAAGGCCAGACTGAAAAGAGCCCTGACTCACAGAGCGGTGCCTGTGGCTCAAAGGAGTAGGGCGCTGGCCCCATATGCCAGAGGTGATGGGTTCAAACCCCGCCCTGGCCAAAAAAATAATAATAATAAATAAAAGAGGCCTAACTCACTTAGTGTCCATGAAGTTCCACCCAGGCAAAGTCCTCTGGGATGATGGAAGTCAGAACAGCAGGTGCCCCTGGAAGATGAGTGTTGTCTGGGAAGGTAGAAGGAGGCCTCTGGGTGGTGGAAATGCTCTATATCCTGATCGGAGGCATAACTACTGGGGCATAGTTAACTGACAACGCCTTAAGTCCTGGGTACTTCACTGAATGTAAGAAAAGAAAGTAAAAATGTTAATTCAAAACAAAAAGCCCAGAGTCAGCTTTAGTGGGCCCTGTGGAGCCCAGGAATCAGAATTTTCAACAAGCTTCCCCCAAGGCGATGCAATGGGACAGGTGGGTGACTCCACTGTGAGAACCGCAGCCTCAGTCCAATCTTGGGCAAGAGGTAAAGCTGGTGCCCTGGCGTTATCATCAGTGCGTATGACAGAACTGCGGGAATCCCAGGGGATGATCCATTCCTAAGAAGAACTTTTTTCCAGCTGATAAACACAGCCCCCTAAGCATGGAGAGAATGGGTGGCCTTAATATACGTAAAGGGACACAACAGACCAGATCACTGAATGCAGAGTCCCCTAAGCTCTGGGCCTGTGCTTCACAGACCCTTCAGCCCCCCCACACACACACCTCACACACACACACACACACACACACTCCCCTCTCGAGCCAGCATTTATTTGCTTCTCTGCCTATTAGAGAGGAGGGTCTGAGAATTCCCCCAGCTGGAGTCTGCGAAGGTGCTGGAAGCCCCAGGGTGGGCAGTTATGACACACACATCTGGGCAGTCCTAATAAGGCCCTACAGATGGGCCCTGACACAGCCCACCTGCGGCCACCACCTATGGCCATTTCGAAGGCCACCCATCTCCTCCTCGCTCCTGTTCTGGAGCACAGGGAGGTGCGGAGCAGAGTTACAGGAAACTCCCAGGGGCTGGCTGCCTGGGAGCCCTCTCAAACCACGCCTTCTTCACTTCTGCAGGTTTGGGCACAGTCAACACCAACCGAGGAGGAGAGGAAAGTTCAGGGACACGAAGCCACACATTTCAGCCAGTCCAGACTTGCTCTGCAGCTTTTAAACCCCTGGCTTGAGTGGGACAACTGTTTCCTTTTTCCTTTCCTCTCTTCTCTCTAAACTTTGGAATGCTGTTATAACTCATTGCAAAGGTGGCAAAATTCCTGCTGAGTTCCATGGGTCCCATCCCAGCACAGGGGATCCTGATCAAGCTGCCCTTGACAAAGACCTCTGCTCCTGGTGGTGCCTGAGTATAAATACATTGCCTTGCTCTGTGTCAAAGTCAAGTTAGTGATCTCCCTTGGGATTGTTCTTCTCGACACTTCCTAAACTCTGGCAACTACTTCTTTAGGAGGACTAAAGCAAGTAGGAGCAATATATAGATATAGATATAGATATAGATATAGATATAGATATATTTTTTTTGAGATAGAGTCTCACTCTGTCACCCTGGGCAAAGTGCCATGGCATCATAGCTCACAGAAACCTCAAACCTTGGGCTCAAGCCATCTTCTTGCCTCAGCCTCCATAGTAACTGGGAGTATAGGTGCCTGCCATAACATCTAGCTAGTTTTTTTGTTTTTCCCTATTTTTGGTAGAGACAGGGTCTCCCTCTGGCTTAGGCTGGTCTTGAACTCCTGAACTCAAGTCATCCACCTGCATCCCAGAGTGCTAGAACTACAGGCATGAGCTATTATGCCCAGCAAGCAATAACCTTTTTAAAAAAAAAAAAACTGCCTTAGTCATCCGACTTGGTAAAAACTTAAATTTCGGAACAGGCTCCTTCTCGGATCTGCAAGGGGGACGGATCTGCAAGGGGGATGAAACATCTGGCCAGAGGATAGGATAGTGTTTGCCCGGCCACATGTGATCTTGAAAGTAAATCATTCCAACCTAGCCCTAGTGAACAGAAGGCTGTGAGGCATTCGAGAAGAATTAGCTAGCTGCCCGGACTGCCAATAAAACAGAATTTACATATCCTGTGTTGCCTCATCTTAAATTGCTCTAGAAAATTTTTTTCTGTCTCTGTCTGTTGTAAATGAGGGGGTTACGGGAACATGGTGGGAGTGACTAGGACGCCTTGCTGCCTAATTTTATTACTTTAATGTGCTCCAGCGCTAGGATGTGCCAGCAAAAATAAAGGCAAAGATACTCCATCTCCACCAGCACATTATTGAGCAATAATGGCAGAGTCCCGCCTGGGTCGTATTCATTAACCAGACGAGATGATGGGATTAATGCAAACGTATTAGGAGAGAATAACTGACACTGTCGCCATCACTGGGAACTCGTATCGGATAATTTTTTTTTCCAGTGTTGGAAATTCTCTCAGGTTAAGTGCACTCTGGTCTAAACTATCTCAGCAGGGTTCTCAGCCTTGCGGGGGGGGGGGGACTTTTGTACATATACATTTCTGCTAAAATCAAAGTGAGCAGTTGGAGAGATCAGTGTCTTTGGTTTCCAGTGAAGACTCGAGTGCTTGGAAAACCAGGAGTGTATATTATGTTTACCTTTCGAGTTCAACTTTTTTGAGGGCCTCTGAAAGTAATCCCCAAAAGAGAGAGGTGGCTCAGCGCCTGCAGCTCAGCCACTAGGGTCCAGCCTCATACACTGGGGCTGACAAACCAGCCTGGGCCTGCCAAACAACAATGACAACTACAACCAAAAAAGTAGCCCAGCATTGTGGTGGGCACCTGTAGTCCCAGCTACTTAGGAGGCTGAGGCAAGAGAATCGCTTAAGCCCAAGAGTTTGAGGTTGCTGTGAGCTGTGATGCCACAACACTCTACTGAGGGTGACATAGTGAAACTGTCTCAAAAAAAAAAAAAAAAGAGAGAGACATGATCTCCCTGACATATTCCAAGAAATTTGATTTGCCATTGGTACCAGCTGTCGCATT